GTTAAATGGTTATTACAGTGCACACGTGTTCGCAACTATCCCTTTCCTGCATGATATTAATCGTCCCTTTTTTACCGTTTCATGCATTATCCATAGATAATTTGATCCGTTTTATATGAATCATTCATTTGTTTAATATAATAATTCGTTTTATATGATTTTGTTTTATAGCGTTACTCTCTGACCACAGCCTTGCCACTCCTACTCCAATCCCGCCCTTGTTGCAAGAAATGGAAGGGTGGGGTATGGGGTAGAGTTATGACGAAAGGAATAAAAATGTTCTTAGAAACAAGATATAGTAGAAGAATATAATCAATAAATAAGATAATGTGTCTTATTTTATCTTCACAGGGGATAATTCCTGTTGTTTTTTTTCAACGTTTTTGTGCAACGGGAAAAAAATAATCATACAATGTGTAGACGTCGTATAATCGCAAGGTTTTAATGAACCCTGTGAGTACACAGTCAATAGACAGTTGTAGAGAAAGTGACAGAAGACGAAACGTAGCGGAGTGTTTGACGTGATGGCGGGGATCACTGGCAGGATCTGAGGTGTGGGAAGGGGGCCGCTGAGGTTAACCCGTGGCGCTGAGTGAAAAATCAAGTCGTTGGTCAGAGGTGGGTGCAGGTCAGAGGTCATGGGTGGAGGGGGGCGGGGGGTCGTGGGTGGGTATGGTTAGTGGGGGTTAGACAAGGGTCAATGCGGTTCCAATGTGAGGCGTAAGTGGATCGTCGGCCGTTATTAGGGTGAGACGATTTCCTTTTCTGGCCTTCTTATGTAATGTAATAATCTATTCCTTCGAATTTCGTTGGTTGTTTATTTCACTATATTCCTGACTTGAGTATCACAATATTTCGTTTTGACTGGAGGTTACTGCAATATGCAAACATATATTTAGATTAACCTTTGCACTAACTCAAATAAATGATAACCGGCATATTTTGATCGACAAAAATGTCTACAAAGGATGGATTTTCTAAAATAAGCTTTCAGTCATGGTGTAATTTCCTGGAATAGTTCTCGGAGGCATTTCGGTGCCAAAAAATAAAGCCTAAAACGGCCGAACGTTCAAGTGCAATTCAGGGAATGCCAAAGGAATGTTACGGCCTGGGTATAGGCTCCTCCCACCGTCATGCTTTCGAGCGGTGGTTGGCCGCGCTACCAGTGACGAAGCCTCAGCCGAGCTGTGATTGGCCAAGATGGTGACGTCATCATCGTGAGAACTTCGAGCCAGCTCATTCACAACACGCGGCTTAGTTTGGAATTCGCGTGTGTCGAGAGCGTTTGTGACGGTGCGTTGACCATTTATGTAGACTGGCTCATGACCTGTGGAAAGACCTTTACTGACATAACATTACCTTAACGTGATATTTTCCCGATATACTGTAAATGGAATAGTGGAGTATCGATAAGGTAAGATGAAATGTTGAATGTTGTTATGCACGTGGTTGAGAAAGATTTGTTACTGAAAGGTTGAAAGCTTGTTTTGATAGTGTTTTTATAATTTGTGAAGTGATGTTATTGGACGTGACAATTGTCAGCTCATGACTGTGTCTGAAAAGGAATTATATGGATTTAAGCTAAAGTTTTCCTTCTACAAATCTGAACATTGGTAAGTGTGAATTTAGGTACATTTAGTGTCGAAAAAGGTTTGTTGACCATGAAAATAGTTTCGTCGAATTTCGAAACGCCGCACTTCTGCAGGTCAATCAAGATATCCGATGATGAAGATGATTATCCATCGTGTCGACCCAGACATGAATGTAATCGGATAGGCCTACCGGAATGCATGACAAACCTGGCGAGGGATTAATTTCGCAGTTGCAAAGGAGACATGAAGATGTATCATTACGAAACAAGTTACCTTACGCCTGTCCGAAATCCTCCATAATACTCTTTTAGACTTGCTTAATATAGCATATGAACTAAGATGGGGTAGCATTCAGACTGTAATCCGTAGCTGTGTCTCAGAGGGGTTTATGGACTCCTGTTTGCCTTGTAAACACACACAAGATCATAATCTGTCAAGGGATTTGCTCTCGGGATTCACTGTACTAATGAGCGGAGTGCACTGGGCTAGCAAAGACCGATTTCATGCTGGCTTAACCCCCGGCGCAAACATGATCATTGATAATACAGTAATGGTATTTTTGTAATTATTCTCATTTGGATACACAAACATGGGGGAATAATACGTTCCAATGCAATAAGGAGCATTTTAGAAATAACCACTAGTTATCAGGGAGCAAGTTATTGAAGGAAAGTTACTTCACTGCAGTAAATAATTGTTGAAGTGTAGGTAATTGCATGTTTGGCGGCCGATGTGTAATCATGGTAGTGATTGGCAGAGATAATGGTTGTTTGCAAGAAAGGGATTGTTTGTGTATTTTGATAGTTTTGTTTGTATCGCCTTTCCCTTTCCACCTCTCTCTCTTCGCGTCTCTCCTCCTTCCTTCTTTGGATATCTCTCCCATCCCATTTTCTTCTTTTTCTCCCCCC